TTCTAATCCTTGGTGAGAGAATTTTTGCTGTTAAAATATTTTTCTTTCGTAATATTTATACCCAGGATTAACCCAATTTAGCTCATCTAGGCCTTAAATGTGAATACACAAGCATATAATTTTTTAATTCATGCATCTAGCTGCCGTTGGTGCCCAACTTTTCGCCAATAAAATTTCGGATTATTTTCATAATTAATTAACGGTGAAGTTATTCAAAATATGATAGGGAAACATTGATTTGTAACAATGGTTTTCAGCAATGGAATTTCGAATTTTAAATATTTCTCCGAAACTAAATGGAACTTGAAAGTGGTTATTGTTCACAAGCCACCACATGAAAATTTGAAAAGGGAGAAAAAAATCGCGATCTGAATCGGAGGCTTTCTCTTTTCTATATATATATATATATANTATATATATATATATATTAGCTTATATCGCTCTAAGGAAACTTCGTTCAAGAGAGAATCTCCATATTTAAGTTTGTCAAGAATTTATAAAGTAAATTATGTAATTGCTTTTAGTAAAATTTTTTAAAGCAGTTTACTTTAACGGGGTCCAACTGTATTTTATCTTAAAGTCAAATTTATTTATCTTAAGGTCAATTACATTAAAAGTGATCTCTAAAAACGTTCAATAGAGTGAATTATTTTCTTAAATTTCTTCACTAAAATATCCGTAATGCAAACTATGCGTATACGTTTTATAGAAACTCTAAGTCATAGCGGTAACATCTACAGCCATTTCTTCGAATTCCAGCAGAAACTGGTTCTTGATTGCCTTTTTTTAAAACTATCCCCACTACCCAGGGTCTTTCTCGAATGTAGTGATACATGAAAAACAGGTTCTTGCTACAATCCTACCCAAGATCAATCACTCGACCAAACGGACGTCACGGTGAACGTTGACAACACTGGTCTAGTANTACACTACATTCGAGAAAGACCCTGAGTAGTGGGGATAGTTTTAAAAAAAGGCAATCAAGAACCAGTTTTTGGTAGAATTCGAGGAAATGACTCTAGATGTTACGGCTATGACTTAGTGCTTCTGTAAAACGTATACGCATAGTTTACATTACGGATATTTTAGTGAAGAAATTTAAGAAAATAATTCACTCGATTGAAAGTTTCTAGAGATCACTTTTAATGTATTGAATTTGAATAAAATACTTAAGTTTGTAACTACAGTTGGACCACGCTAAAGTGAACTTCTGTAAAATATTCTACTAAAAGTAATTGTTCACTGCATCAAAAATTTTTGAAATAATATATTTTCTTTTATTGCAAGAGTATTGTAAAAAGTTACTATAATATAAATTCCTGACACTCTAAATATATATATTACTTTTAGAAAATTATTATTAGTTAAAAATTTTAAGAAATTATATTTCAAAATTATATCTAGCATCGTGGAATCTCTCTCTTTTAACTACTTGTGATCGTCATTTACTTGAGGCTGATCCTATAAAGAAATAAAGGCTTCGTGAGGGAAACAAATTTCTACAGCAATGATAAATATGTGAGAAACTAAATTAAAAGCAAAAAATCACGAAGAAAGCACTTAAGTTTGCAGTAAATTTCAGAAAAATCGGAATTTTGCGAACAAATTCCTGTTAAGTTAACAAATAAAAATGACTTGTTCTGCACGTCAAATTTTATCTAAGTATTGCATATCAACGGGTTACAGATCAACCAAGCGTACTATTTTTTCCCTACAAGAAACTTTTGAGCTGTCCTTCATTAGCTTTGTTATTTTTTGTTCTCCATTCTTTAGAAGTGAAATTATAACTATGTTTTTGTTCACATGTTGACAAATGTTATTTTGGAAATTACATACTTTAAATGCATTTTCAGAAAAAAATAAGATTTTGTGAAAATTTCCTTACGTTACACACAAAAATAGTTTATTATAAAATTCTTCGAGCATTTATGTAGATTTTGTATAATATTAGCATTGTTTTAAACTAAAAGCTGCTATTATTTTTGTTAAGATTAAAATTTTAAAAGTTCATTATTTTTATCAAGCCTTACGTAATGATTTTTTGAAATTTTCTTTAAAAAGTTATATGTAGTTGCATTATAGTTATATGGCAATATAGTTATATGTATTTGCATAAAAGTTATATTAAACTAAAGTTTATTATAAGATATTTAGTTTCATTTCATTGTATATTCGAAATGCTTTTAATGATTTTTGTTCAAAACACAGGCAACAATATTATTGATCCAGATAAAAAATTTATCATTTATGCATTACAATTTCTTATGGAGCAGTCAGCGGGACATAAATTTGAAGTTTTCTTACTCAAATTTGCCTTTATTTCGAGAAAATATTTTAAGCGTTACTCACGATTAATAATATTAAGACCCCTGCTTACAAAAAATAAAAAAGACTGTTTTTAAAAAGAAATTGAGTCGAACCCAGTAGGATAGCTAAACAATTATTGAACTAATTGTCCATTGTTAATTTTTATATTTCGTCGTATTCGTTGTACTTTTTTGTATATCTTATAAAAGTTTCAAATTCTTATTTCTTATAGTTTTGAGGGGCAAAATTAAGTTTTACGTAAAGTAGAAAAGCGAGAAAAATTTGTCTAATATTACTTAAAATTTGCAATAATTTTCAAACAAATTGGTATTTCGAAAAAAAAAATAGTCTGACAAATTTATAAACGTATAAGGCCCTTTTAACATGCATAATGAAAATTAGCATGAACATTCCAAGTAAAAATATTTTTTTATAAATATTTACTAATTTTTATTGTTTTTTTACATCATTAAGTCGAAAATATTTTTAATTGTTACGTAAGAAAATTCTTGCATCATTTTAAAATATGTATTGATAACTTTAATAAAAATGTATCGATAACCTTAAATAAAAAAAATATGAAATAGGAAAAAAATCGATCAAATATTTCTCAAGAAATTAAATTTTAACTAAACGACTTTTTGAAATTGGATAACTCAGATTAATTTCGCTCAAATTTCATATTTTGTAATTTAAAATTATTTCGTAATTAAAATGAAGTAAAACTTTATTTACTCCACAATTAAAATTTTTTCACCTATTATGAAATAAAATAATAAAACTATAATTTTTTATAAAAAAATTCTTCTACCAAATTTTTCTTAAAATAATATTAAAAAAATTATTTTTATGCTTTTGGATAAACGAATTTTATGATTGCTAAAAAAAAATATTTTAATCTTGCGTGATATAACGCAATAAAAAAAATTTACTGTACAAGCATAACTATAAAATATTTTGGAATAAAAATTTTTGTGTCATTTTCAAATATGTAACTTTAAATGACAAAATACAATATTTAAACAATATTGATCAAAAATCACTAGAATTTAAAATTTAAGTATAAGACTTTTTAAAATTGGATAACACAGAAACTATCCGGATTACTTTCACTCAAACTCTCTCTCATTCTCTCATTTCAAGTTGCATGCCTTTAAACAAAGTTAAACTTTGTATAATCTACAATTCAAGATTTTTCGACTAATATTAAATAAAATATTTAAATTATAAATTATAGTAAAATTATTTCAACGAATTATTTTTAAAAGAATATTAGAAAGATATTTTATACTTTTGGATAAACGAACTTTATAACTATTAATAAAAAATATTCCGATTCACATAATTTGTTGCTATATAATGAAATAAACCATATAAAAAAGTTACTACAAAAAGCATAACTATAAGAACGCAAAAATTTCTCTACCCTTAGCCTGTGTAAACTATCATGTTATATTCTTCAGATGAATTTGCAGTCCTTGTGTTACATCTAATCTAATTATGAATTTTTTTTTTGTGTATATACGTAAGCAGAAAAGAAATAAAATAAAAAAAAATTTGGTTACTTCAAAGTGAAAATTTATAAAACTACTGTTAATGTTTAGAATAAAATGGTCATTAGAGAAGCAAATTTCTTTATTAAAGATATTAATAATTTTATTTCGATTTCAAAAGCGAATTGAGAAATGCAAAGGCAATATTTTATAAATACTTGTTTTTTTAAATATTTTTTCAGTATATTGTAATTAGAAATATTATATTTTGCCATTTCTCAGTCATTCAGAAAAAAAATCTTAAAAATAAAATATAAATGGAACAAAAACCAAGATTAAATATGCTAAAAATAAATAAAAACAAAATGTTCAAACTTTCTAAGAGAAAAAAAGGAAAGATAATAAGAAAACGGTATTAGATTTCATATTATTTAAAAATCTATGCTAAACTTGAAACGAGAATGTATTTAAATATTTTAACTATTGAATTTGTCTGCTGTTTTTGTCAAAGAAACTCAAAACAAGAGAGAATTAAAGTTATTTTCATATTTAGGTGAAAAATGAAATTTTCTCGCTAAAATATCCGTAATGCAAACTATGAACGTTTTACGGAAACACTAACTCATAGCCTCAACATCTACAGCCATTTCCTCGAATTCTAGCAAAAACTGGTTCTTAATTGCCTCTTTTTAAAACTATCCCCACCACTCAGGGTCTTTCTCACTCCCACGTGACTTATGTCTTCCCCGTAGGTAAGATTGTAGCAAGAACCTGTTTTTTAGGTATACAATAGTACTTATAGTGCTGAGACTTCTCAACCAATCAGATTACTCAAGAGTGGAATTTCTTTAACCACGTGTCTAAGAGATTAGTTAAATAGTTAGTTTTGTAGAATTGCAGGGATTATTTTTTGTAAAGAGGAAAGTCAGGATTATTTTCTGTGAGTCAATTTACTTGTATTATTTTAGTTCTTAATTTGTATGATTATTTTATTTTTATTTTCTAATCTAAAAGTTAATCTAATTAATCTAAAAGACTACCCTTATGTTTATTATGTTTCTTTTTTATTTAATTTTATTTTTGCTAAGCATTATCAATCTGGAGTAATGCTTAAAAATTCAACAATTCTATGCTACTGGGTTCGACTCAATTTTTTTTTAAAAAAAGTCTTATTTATTACTTAATTTTATTTTTGGTTAGCATTGTTCTTAATATTATCAATTTTGAGTACAGCTTAAAAATTCGATGATTATAAAGCTATCCAACAGGGTTCGTATAAATGTTTTTTTAAAAATAGTCTTATGTAGTATTTTATATAATTTTTTTTTTTTGTTAAGCAAGGGGCCTAATATTGTTAATCTTGTTGTCGTAATATTATCAATCTTGAGTAATGTTTAGAAATTCGATAATTGTTAAGCTTTCTTACTGCGTTCGAGTGCTTCATTTACTACTTCATACTTCATTTTTATTTTGGTAAGCAGGGGTTTTAATATTATTAATCTTGAGTAAATTTAAAATTTTTTAAAATTATTTTCCGAAAATAAATGCAAAATTGAGCATAATAATTCAAGTTCATATCCTGCTAACAGCTCAACAAGAAATTTTAATGTTTAAATATATCATAATTTTTTTTTTTGATCAATAATTTGGTTACCTGTGTTTTGCACAAAAAGTTTCTAAAAGCGTTTCAAATATACATGTGAAATAAAACTAAATATATTGTTCAATATTGACTTTCTAAAAGAGAAATTCGAAAATTAATTTCGTAAGGCTTAATGAAACTAATAAACTTTTTCAAATTTTAATCTTTATAAAAATAATAGCAATTTTCAGCTCTAAACATTGCTAACATTCTACGAAATCTACATAAAGGTTCGAAAAATTTTATAATAAACTATTTTTGTAATGTGTGTTAGGGTAAGACAATTTTCACAAAATCAAAGTTTTTCTGAAAATGCATTTAAAGTATATGGCATTTCGAATATTATTTATCAGCATGTGAACAAAAACAACAGTTATAACTTAGCTTCCAAAGATTGGAGAACGAAGTTAATGAATAAAAGCTCAAAAGTTTCTTGTAGGGAAAAAATACTGCGCTTGGTTGATCTGTAGTCCGCTGAAATGCAATACTCAGATAAAATTTGACGTGCTGAAGGAGTTATTTTTATTTGTAAACTTAACAAGAATTTGGTTGCAAAATTTCGATTTGTTTGAAATTTATTGCAAACTTAAATGCTTTCTTTGTGATTTTTTCCCAGATTTTATGATCTTAAATTTGTTTTTAACATATTTATCATTGTTACAGAATATTTTCTCAGTCACGAGGTTTTTAGTTTTTTATAAGATCGCGCTCAAGTAGATGACGATCAAAAGTAGCAAAAATAGAGATATTCCATGTTGCCAGATATAATTTTAAAATTACAATAAATTTTTAAAAATAAAAAAAAATTAATGAGCAGCCATAAGAGCCATTGAATGTTTGAAATTTTATAAGTCTCGTTACCCAGTAAAAATACTTCTCTTTTAATTTTTCATATAGAGTCATATATTATGCGTTTTTTAGGCTAATTTTTTTTAAATACTGACAATTATTTTTCAAATTTTCGCTCATTTCGTTATGTTTTATAGATTAACAAAATGTTCTTTCTTAAAGCTACAATAGCCCTATATTTTGAAAGCAAAATGTTCCGTGTTTTTGTAGAAAATATTGAAGTTTAAGAAGAAAGAAAAAACAGTGATAAATGAGAAACAATCATGGAAGTCGGTAAGTGTAGTGAGCAGGGGGAGGGGGGGGCAGATCGAAAGCTTCTAGGTATGCAAATACCTGTACAACTTAGTGAAAAACATGTAAAGGGACAATTTGAAAAGACTTAATTTTTCAAGATTTGAACATGTTTTTATCAGGTTTTAAAAAAAAAAAATTAATTTACTACTCTGAATCTTTAAATAGAGAAAAAATTCGTTATTCGTTGATTTTTAATATAATTGCCTTTTTATTTTAAATGATAACAAATCGGTATAAATTTTACCCAATTAATGTTGTTTAAATTTTCGCAGATAACAATGGAAGATTACGATATTAATAATGTAGACTTCAGGAGGTTACTCACCGAAGAAGAACTTCTGAATTTAGATACCTGCATTAGTTTTCTGGACCAAGAGAAGGAGAATCAGATTAACTTTCACGAAGTTCTGACTGAAGATGAACAGCTGAACCTCGAAAATTGCATCCAGAAGATATTAAAAGAAGATAGAATAACCCAGGTAAGTTTAACTATGTAAAATATAGAATTTTTGCACCTTTTAAGTATGCTGATTTTAGATTAATTTATGTGTTTTGTATACACCACTTTGGAAACTTAAAAGGACTCTACCCTCGCAATTTAGGATTCTAGGTAAAATTTTTTAATTTATGTTATCTTGATATTTTTTTTGTACTAAAAAACTTTTGATGGTATACTGTTATTCTACCGCATAATAATTTTCTAAAGAGGTAAGTAAAAATTAAAAGAGTCGCTCTATTAGATTTGGAGATAATTTTTAGATTTTTCATGAATTAGTCCTCAAATTTTTAAAGCAATAAAATAATGTGATACGTAGTTTTAAGTAAGTAAATTAAAGTTACATGTGTCACAGTTTTTAGATTTTTTAAAATCTAATCTTATTTGCAGTTTAAATTGATGAAAATCAATTTGAATAAAGTTAAAAATTTACTCATTAAAAATCTGAAAACTAATATTTGTTTATCACTTAAATATCTTTCAAAAACTGTTGATTTTTGAATTGTGCTGCCGTATTTTTAAGAAGAAAACTTATAGAAAATTTATAATAGTGCACGCCTTATTATACCTCAAACTCAGATTCGGTGACCGCCTTTTATTTTGCATATGAATTTTGTCCTTTGTTCGCCTTTTATTTTGTCGAATGATAGTGCCAAAGAATGTAAGCATCCATCTTCAGTTTATTTGGGAAAATTAAATGAAAAAGATAACAGGAATATTTAGAATTTTTCTTTTAAATATTATATATCTTTTAAATATTAATTTTCACTTTTTAAATATTACGTATACATCCGAAAGTTTATTTTAGAGAGCAGTATAAGCAGGAGAATTATACCAAAGCTATATTTGCTTGTTTAATCAAAATTGCAACATACATATAACAGAGCAGATATTTGAATAAAGGAATAAAAACTAAATCTCAAAAATCTTTGATAATTAAAAGTTTCAGCTCTCTCACTAATAATTGTGTTAGAATTGTTGTAATCAGTAACAAATACTTGAATTGATTTAAAGAAAGATTTGGTAATCATTAATAAAGAAAGTCTAATGCGATAAATTCACACACATTATTCAACGGACTTATTTGAAGTCACTAATGCACGAAAACAAAATAAACATATTTTCGTTTAGCATTTTTTTGAAGAATGTGCAGAGCTTTCTGCGCATGCTCTGCAAATTCGACCATTTTAAAATAACATCAATGAGAGGAACACCAGGCATGTATGTATTTCGGGCAATGGCACTAATCTAACCTGAAGGTGAATGCATTATGGAAAAAATGTTTTACACTTTTTTTTTCTGTATCTGTAGTACCATTATTTTTTTGAAGCATATACCTAGGGAAGAATATGCTATGCTCATATTTTGCCTATTCGTAGTTTTGTCATATTATGACTATGTCATATATGACATCTATGTCATATATCATATTATGACATTTTTAAGCTCTGCTTTAATTTCTTGGTAAAGCATATAAGTTATTACATGACGCAGCGATGGAATTAATTCCTGAAAACGTTTTAAATAATTTAGTTCTTAAAATTATATAGTTGTACAATTCAGTTGTCTGAATATACAATTTTTTGTAGTTTACATGCTAATACATACAAGTAATTTGATCAGATTTCACATTTTATAATAAACTGAATTTACATTCACGAGAATATATTCATTGAAATGCATTTATTCATTTACTTTCTTACAGAATCCTAATGAAGTGCCACCGATAATGTCGTTGAATCAACAAGCTTTGCTACAGAAGCCTCTTACTCAATGGCACCGTCAGCAGCCTCAAACCCAATGGCACCGTCAGCAGTCTCGAACTCAATGGTCTAATGAAATGACACCGAAAATGCCGTTTAATCAACAAGCTTTGCCACAGCAGCATTTAACTCAATATCACATTCAGCAGCCACTTACTCAATGGCACCGTCAGCAGCCTTTAAGTCAATGGCACCGTCAGCAGCCAAGTGTATCCTACCAGCATTTCTATCAGCCTGTAGCTGCATCTGTGAATAGTATGCTTTTTTCGACATTTTAGTTTTAGATTATTAGATTTAGTTTTAGATAAAAAGTGATCCCCCCCCCATAAACTTGACTTTCCGTTTTCAAATTAATGAGGTAGTCGCAATTTGGAATATTTGGTTGCTGTAGATATTTCAGTACACCCTCAGAAAATATAGAAACTTCTTATTTTTATTTTTGCTCATTTTCAAAAATCTAGAATTAACTGAAATAGTTAAAAAATACTTTTCAATTTGAAATATTTGTCCCTTTAGTAATAATATCACGATAAAATAAATTCTTAATAATAATGTACAAAATGTATTTAATCTGTAGCTTAATGTAAAACAGTTGCTGTCATGTGACAGAAACCTGAATTTAAACTCATTTATTTTAAATCGTTCTAATAGATGGAAATCAATCTGTTAAATGTCAGTGAAATGCACGTTTATAAGTTATTGGAATTAATAGTTGATAAAGTTAAGAAATTGGTCTCCATCCCTTTCGATGGTACTACTTAAGACTCAATGGTACATACTTTAGAGAAGATAAAATTTTCTAACTTAAACCTAAATACATTTTAATTAACATACTCTTTTAATTCTTTGAAATTAGACAAGAAAGAATAAACTATATGATTTTTTTCAGATATAGTGTCTTCACTTACTCACTTGAATTACTCTTGATTTACTTTTTGACTCACTCTCATTACTCTTGAATTACTCTTGATTTACTCATTTCTTGCTAAATAATTTTTATTCCGTTTTTTTTTCAGCTTTGCCTTATAATAATGCACCCTCGGGATCATCCGAATTCTTTTCAAAGTTTGGTGAAAATACGAGAAAAATGAAGAAGGTAATTAATATATTTTTAATTTTCAAACATAATTAAAGCATCTTTCAAAAACTTATAAGTGCAACTTTATATATTTTATTTAAATTTTAATTTTTTGATTTTTACGCAACCCGATAGTTAGAATCAGAACCATTTTTCAAGAAATATAAATTGAAAATAACAAAGATTAGAATTATGCAGCATATAATTCGTAATAAGCAATTACAAATTTTAAAAAAGAGTTTTCCTAAAAATAAATTTTTCCTTCTGGAAAGTAAGGCAAATGCTACAGTCTCTACTGATTTACTAAAAATTTTAATGTCCATTTATTCTTCTGTTATGAACAATTCAGATCGTGTCAGGAAATTAACGCATTGCACAATTTGGCAATAATTTTACAATAAATTTTACACAATTCATAACTCGAAACAATCAGAACCATTTTTCAAGATGCATAAATGAAAAATAACAAAGGGGATGGACAATGAGCTGATAATATGAGATAAACATCTGCAAACTTTGTTTCCCTTAAGATTGATACTCTTTTTATTATTTTACTCAAAAAGCACCATCAAAAATACCTTTTAGTACATAACTTATTTTTCTTAATTTTAATTATTGTTAATTTAAGATTTTTTTTAACTCTGTGGAAACACGTTTTAAAAACACAAAACAAAATAAGCTCGTTGTTTCAGTTAACTTTAGAAATGCTAGATCAGTAACGTAACTCCGACCTACATTACTGAGATTGCAAAATTGATCGAACTTTTAAGAAACGCAATAAATCTTTAAAGTTTTTTATTACAGCAGTAACTAATATTAAAGCGATATGAAAAAATCATTATTTAAACATCTCTCCCGAATGGAATAATTAAAAACTAAATGCGATTTTTAGGATCGAATGTAAAATTGCTCCTTGTAGTCGATGTCAGAACTTCAAAGTCAGAGTACGATCTGTTCTCGACTTTAAAAGATTCAATATAACGTTACGGCACCACAGACAGACAAAAATAATATGTAAACACAAGAAAAATATGGAAACAAAATATAGCAGATTAATTAAAATATTTTAACATTGGTTTTGCCACCAAAGTCATTTTAAAAAGTCATGGCATGACGTATGTCATTGAACGGAATAAAGTAAATGTCAAAAATATGTAGACATTATAAAATTAATATTCATAAAGTAAGTGTCATAAATACGCAAATATTATAAATTTATTAAGCAATTATTTAAATCAAGAAATAATTTTTTTAAAACTTCATTGTTTATATGATGTATGGGAAAGAATCCAAGGTAGACTAATATGATTTTTTTTGTAACTAGATTAATTGAAGAAAAAAACATTTGAATTTAGAGAGTAGGTTGATAGATATTGATTAATCATAGTTTTTTTAAGTTTTAAATTGCATTTATTATTCAGACTCATGCAGTGGAACGCCGAAAAAGGCCTTATTGCAGAAGACAAAGTCAACCAACTGTAGCTGCACTTGAGAATAGTATGTAGTTTCTGATATTTTAGTTTTTGAACTGTTGCATTCCTTGTTTTATGTCCTAGAAACCCCTTCATGATGCTTTGGTTAAAATATTGCTTCATACTATATTGATCCTTACAGTATATATAATTAGATGCGTAATAGAAAATAGGGTTAGAAATATAATAAAAACTTATTGGAATAAACATAGAGGTTCTCTTCGGGAAGCATTCCTTTATGAGAGGCATTTCGAAATAGAGAATGTTCAGATATAATCGCAATCTTATCTTGATCTTATCTTAAGATATAAAGGAAAATAATTGCTCTTTATAATGCAAAAAATATATGTTTACTTTTTCTTATATGCATTGCAAAATAAAAAGTTTAACTCACTGAATATTTTCTTACATAATGGCGCGCTTAAAATGCAAGATTTGAATGCCCTTGCCTTTTATATTCTAATTAATAACAGTAAATTTTAATTACTTAATGAAAACTGACAAAAAAGGAACTTTTTCTTAATAAATGTCATTTTTCAAGTTGTAGTTTTAATAAATTATAAGGTTTATATACAGATTTTACATATTTCAATAAATTTCAGATTATACACATATGTATAATATATGTTTTTAATAAATTACAGATTAGTAGGGAACCATTCCAATATAGATTGGAACTTATTTATTTTTAATTTTTGTGTATTTTTCCAAAGTTTTGAAATAGACAACAAAAATAAAATTTAAAACAATAGTTCTCAAAAATTAATGACACTTAGCTATTTATATGCTTTATATTGCTAAAATGTATTTCGTTTTAATAAATATTTAATTTAATAACGACCGAAATTTCTTTCTAATAATAAGCTTTTATTTAATTTAATTTTTACATTGTATATTTAATACGAATGCAAGTAGTGCGTTGAGCATTAGAGTTCTAAACATATTAAAATATTTGTATTCTTTCTCTGTCTTTTCTGTAAGATAATATATTAATAATATACTATCAGGCAGTAAATAGAAGTGAAAATGATAAGCCGATTAAATTAATGGTAATTAATCAGACTTTTAAAAAACTTTAACTTTGAACTTCTTTTATGCCGATTAAGATGACAAAATTTCTCTCTATTCTAAAAAAAAGTTTTTGCAGTTAATTTTGTCCCCTGAAAAACTTTTTAACTACGTGATGAAAATCTAAGATTAAGGAATCAATTCATTCAGAATCTTTNATGACAAAATTTTAACATAAAAAATGCTTTCTAATGCTTTTCTTAATGCTTTTCTTTTAGTAGTTTTGAAATACAACATTCAAGCGAAACAGATGATTTTTTATTTTCTGAAATTGATATCTTATTATAATTCTTTGAAAAGAGTTTAAATGACGTTTTTTACGTATTTAATACAATAAAAGTCCTTAAAATATCTAATTTATCAGTGAAACACAGTGCTTTTTGTTAAAATGAACTACAGTGATTGATTGAAATACAAATAAGCTTTTTTCGTGTAATTTTTGTTTAATAATTTTTTTCCCTTACCTCTTTTTAGACTGCTCTTACGTCAGCCCCAGTGGACTTTCGGAATCCTCGGNCATAAAAAATGCTTTCTAATGCTTTTCTTAATGCTTTTCTTTTAGTAGATTTGAAATACAACATTCAAGCGAAACAGATGATTTTTTATTTTCTGAAATCAATATCTTATTGTAATTCTTTGAAAAAGTTTAAATGACGTTTTTTGCGTATTTAATGCAAAAAAAGCCCTTAAAATAATTTATCAGTGAAACACAGTGCTTTTTGTTAAAATAAACTACAGTGATTGATTGAAATACAAATAAGCTTTTTTCGTGTAATTTTTGTTTAATAATTTTTTTCCCTTATCTCTTTTTAGACTACTCTTACGTCAGCCCCAGTGGACTTTCGGAATCCTCGGAATACTTCTCAAAGTTTGAAGAAAATATTAAAAATTTAGAAAGGGTAACTTTTATTTTTAATTAAATTTGAATTCTTTTTGAAGCTTAAATCAAAATTGCGAAATTCTTAAAAATTCAGCTTTGCTTTCTAATTTTTGCACAAAATGGCAAAATGCTTTTTCACTATCTCACAAAGGGAATCACTATCGAATAAAAATTAAGGACGGCAGGATGAAATACATAAAATAAATTGCCTAATGAAACTTTCGGTTGCTCATCCCTTCAACTTTTTTTCTCTCTGGCATTTAAACAGGATACGATATTTTCCCTCATATTTTTCTCAGTCGAGATTCTTTAGATCTCAATAGCGACTTTGTTTTTTTATCGTTTAAATATTGACTTGCAACATGAATGTGTATATTTGACTTTATTGGGTGGGATTTTAACCCCAATTTTCAAGAAAACGGTCATGAAAGTGCCTATTTTTTTGGCTTTTGTACTTGTATTACGTATTTGATTAGTGCTGACATCTAGTTTAAAATAAACTAACTATCTACAATTACCTTAAATATATCCTGGTACTGCCATCTTGTGTGCAGAATGAGAAAAAAATGTTTTCCAGGCAAAAGAAATAAATTAGTTTCATTCTTATTGGCGCGTTACTACTGAACACTCCAGCCCGTCAATATCACGGGAGCGAGAAATAGAGAGCGAAACCTGACCCCGTCATTTTCATGGGAACGAGAAGGAAAGGGTTGAAAGTGTATACTAATTACAGCCATTGAGAAACACCCTGCATAATTGCCAAACGTTTACGGTTTGGTCGCAACGTTAAATTACAAGGCATTGGACCTTCTCAAATATAACTGAAGCCTAAACAATTTTTCAATCAAATTAAACTGAAAAAAAACAGCTAACCTTTGCACCAGAAAATGAGATCAATCTCTCTATTACGAAGGGTTAACTATTAGTGAAAAGATAGGTTAACTAAGTAATGCAAAGGGTTATGTAATGCCAACTACAAATACCTACCACTCTTAATGTTATAATATTAATGTTGTGCAAGAAATTTAAACGTTTAGTTACAGCTTTACATCTTAATATTTAGTAACCCACGGGCATTATATTGTAAGAGTTAAAGCACTGAGTTTTGTAACTTTTATTGGTTGCGACCGTTTTTTAAGACCTTTAAATTTGATTAATAACAAAGTTAAAGATTAGTAACAAAGTTGCAGTTAAGATTAGTACATTAGGGAGTTAAAGATTAGTAACAAATTAGAAGAATATAATCTCTGTAAAAAGCACATAAGTCTGTTACGCTGTTTGAATATTTTTTTAGTTTGACCATAAACTGCATAGATTCAATTGATTCTAATTTCTTGAAGGACCGGAGAGAAGTTACTTTACGGGCCATATAGTTTATTATATTTAACTGCATTACTACATAAAATATTATATTTTTTCAGGTGTACTGTACCAGAGATGTTCAAAGTAAGTTTACGTAAAAAACAGTAAAAAGTAAGTATACAAAAAATAGTAAGTATGCAAGTAAGTAGAAAGTTATTTCTACAACTCATTGTGTTTTAAGTGTATATCGCTAAACCTGCGAGATTGAAAAAGAAAGTTGTCACTGTTGCTGCGAATTTTGCACAAATTTAGTCTAATTGGATACCTCCAAGTGACGTTATCGGGGGCAAATTATGACCTCTGTTGATTCAGAAGCCAATCAAATTCAACATGCACTCGAGACGTCGCTTAGGGGTATAGTATTAAATCTGATTTTAAACACATAGTTAGGCATAATCACTTATTCTTTGAGACTTGCAAGTATCCAATAGGAAGGCATTTATGAGCCCTAATTGGCCTATCGGCATTATGAGCCTTATTGGCCCATACCAAAAGACCAATAAAATACAATTTGTATAAAACATTTTAGTAAATACACATTGACAAACTGGGACAATTTGTTATTGGCTTGAATCTTTTAACTTCAAAAGAAAAATTTTCACGTTACATCCAATTATGTAATTGAGTTCCAATTATTTAAGTATATTTTAAAACGCTTTTAACATATTAATACTATTCGACTTATAACGAGTTAAAAGGTCTAAATTAAAAATGTAGCGCTAACTACTATATATTGTAAAGTTGGTCAAACTGTCTAAATAATAGAATTTTCATCAAATGTCATAATATATCATTAAACAATATTCCTAAATGAGTTGTTTAAAGTGAATATTTAACTTGACACGGCAATTTTTTTTATCGTGCTTGATAGACGCATTAAAAGTAATTATTTTTTAATTTGAAAGAATATTTAGCATCTGGGACACTTGGTTAATTATTTATTTAACATTAACTTCAAATTTAGCTAAATATTATTAAGTTTACTATAAATTATATTTACAATGATTTTTATCGCATCGTTAGATCATGAGTTCTTGAATCGTGATATTCAGAATCTACTTATCTGAGTAGTAACGATTTCAGATAAATATGTTTATTATAGTCTATTGAATGGGAAATAAGAAATTTTTAGGGTGGGTCTATTTTTTTAAAAATATTTTCACAAAATAACGTGTTAGTTTTTTAAAAATATAATTAACTAAAAATTCTGCCCTCTTCGATGAAGTTTCATGCTAGAATATACGTTAAAATTATGTTTCAAGTTTAGCATAGCTTTTAAAATTTAGCCGTATCGTGATTTATTACTTGCAAAATACATTAAAATATCTTATTTAGTTGAATTAGATTTTAAGTTAGTTTACTAAAATCTAAATAAAGATACCTTTATTGATAGATATTTTAATTAGAAAATATATTTTAACAAATATCTAACTAAAAATATGCATGTTCTACACATAAAAAGAATAGGAATAAGTTCTTCCGAAGGAAAAAGAATTCGAAATTATTCTCGATTCAAATACAGAGATAATGTTTAAAATTATGTGCTGATCACTGCATTTTAAGTACCGTTCGTCAATGATTATATTTGACATTATTTTTGCAATTTTTTCCATTGAAGCAATATATTTAAATTTTACTGTATAGTGGATTGTTAATACTGTAATATTTTATTAAATTCTTTTCTTCATTCTAATTACAGGTTCTTCATTTCATCAGTTTACTTATTCATCAGGACATTTTCATCACATCTAGAAGGTCATCTTCATTCTTTGTTATTCTGGTAATCTGACCTTATTTTTTTAATATAACGAAGAAATCAGATAAGTAAAAAAGCTTTCGCTTTATACGTGGAAAAATCTTATTTTTGTACATCGATATTCTGTAAATATTCTGTATAATTAGGGTGAAAAAGATTTTAATAAATTTTCTCCCAGTGGTTAATTGCTTGTGCTTTTTTTTAATACAATGTTTATTGTTTTAATACATAAGTCAAAATTTATAAAGTTCATTTCTAAAATATGGGCCGTCTAGGAGTTTTACCGATAATTAAAATTGGGTCAAATAAATGTTTTCTTGAAAATTCCTTTTTTGTTTGATTCAACAGTTTTTTGTTCTTTTTTTTTTGATGGGGGGGGGATAGCCTAGTTGGTAGGGCCATGTCGAGAGTTCGTGGGTTCGAGCCCCGCCGGCCGAAGACGCCCCTTGTAGTTGGTGACTGATGCACGTTAAATTCTGTCGAATCGCAAAGTCCTCCATGCTCCCATAACAAATCAAAACCTCTGGGGGTACTGGATTGGATATCGATCGTTTTCTGATTCAGGTCAAAATTACGATCTGTGGATGCATGAATGGGTCCGCCTTATAAACGGGTGTGACGTATGGTGTGGCAGAAGTCGAATTATTGGCCATAGAGGGCACCACTGAAAAACAAGAACATTCACGCCCCTTCTGTCTAAATGGCGTAAGCCAACAACAATTTTTTTTTCTGTTTACAAAAAAAAGGTGCTTTTGGGGTTGACTTGTGGTTGATAGATATAAAAAAGCACACCTAAGGTAGAAAATAAGGTTATGATTTTGCACCTAAAATAACCTAATTAATAAACCACAATTTCAACCTCATTTACATCCCATAAAATAAACCTATTATATATTGCTGAGCAATACATTTAGTTGAAATCAGGTAGATTCACACAATGTACATTGCCATGTAAACTTTTAAAAATAACCTCTCCATTGTGGTTGCGTTGAGGTACATTTGCTGAAACCTCAAAACAACCTCAAGTTACCAAAGCAACTACATACACCTTGATCATAAACCTTTGAGAGTTGGCTTTTCAACTTTGTTTTGAAGTAAACTTCGAATAAACCTCAAATTGAGCTTACCACCTGAAAACGCCTTACATTTTTGTTACGAGTCCATTCTAGGCCAATGTATAAACTAACTAATCTTTGACTTAGCTTAACCAAAATTTAATATATAATTAAATATTTCGATTTGTATTCTACTCATAACAAAAAAGTCTTATTTAGTTAATAAATGTGAGGTAATTCCGCATTTGGATCGTACCGACAACGGTGCTGATGTAAATCATGCTTACTGGTTGACTGATCATGCGTTAAAGTCCTCTTGAAGTTAGACTAACAGTGGGATGTTTTCGTGTTCTTCATGTAACGCAAATGCGGGTTAATTTCATCAAAAAGCTCTCGAAGAAATCATATTTCCCCCAATATTTAAGGACTAGTTCCCTTGTTTTCTGGAATGGGTTCAAAACTACAAGGATACGGACTTGAGCATTGGTAGCCGTAAACTCAAAATTCGGTCGGCTGTTCAACTATGGTTATAAAATAAAATAAAAATGTGGAATAAAAGTTAAATAAGGGTGAACAATCGAATAAAATTTCTTCGAAGAGTTTCAGAGGTTTGAAAACAAAATATTCCTAAAGAACTATTCAGCTCAAAATTTTATAAAATGAATGAAAACCAAAACTTCATTTAATGCAAAGCTTCATCTTTTTATTTGAATTTCATCCCAAAACTAAATTACAGTAAATGTCAAAGTTAAGTCAAATACCAGGGTGTAGGTGTTGCATTTTTCTTACGTAAGCATGGGATGGGGATTGGGATTTGCATATTTTTGCTGAGAAAGAGAGTGGGGAAGTCCAAAATGACCAAAAATATGCTTACGTAATTTGTCCCATTGCTTTGATATATAAAGATATACAATGATACTATGCAACATGAAAAATATCCCTTAGAGGAAAATATTTATTTTTTGTACATTAAGGCTGATAATAACTATTTTCCGAAAAATAATATACAATGTTTCGATGCTCTAGATACATTAGAATTGGAGATATTCGAGAATTTGATTGAAGTTTGGCGACTTTTTCCCAAAAAAATGGTACGCGATGGACTAATTTGGTTTTGATATATGAATCGAATATCTTTTGTTTACATACAATCACATTATTTCAAATCGAGAATAGGAAAAACGTTCAAATCGTTATACAATGTACTCCATCAAAATGTCAATTTTCTGAAGAGTTTGATAATTTTATTTTATTTTATTTTAACAACAAGAATACAACCTATAGATGAGAAACAAACGTCATTAAAAACAATAAAACATTTAAAAATTTTTTTAAAAAGCAGTTAAAGTCATGTAAAAAATATCAAGTTCTTTAGCATGTTCATTGAAAATAATGTAAAATCTGCTGAATATTTTTTTTTTCTTTATAATTATATTTTCAAAATGAGTTTACAAATAATTTTTCATTTCGTCTATTGTTTTTTTTTCTTTTCTTTTTTTTACAGCAAACAATCATATTTAAAATATGAGAGCAATCAATGATATTATTTAGAATTTTGTATCAAAATAACAAACATCACAAATCTTTACGACATTCCAATAATGGAACTTTTGAAATGTAAAAAAACGGAACATCGCATTTTTAGTATTAATATAATCGAATTTTTTACAGTAAAGTGAATCTACAGATTCGTTAAGGGGTGCGCTTTAGCTGTAACATTCACATGATAATGTATATTAGGTTTACTTTCATGAATTAAATGGTATTTTAGTAATGTCCTTCAATCCCATGTGCAAATTTGAAATTATTTGTTAAAATAATCAAAAATTTCTATTATGAAATTTTTTTTACTTATATAACTGTGTAACTCTTAATCGTACAATATTGCTAAAAAGTCTAATATTTGGTCAATAAATAAACTTAAATTTATAAAATTTCAAAATATTTGTTCTTCAGTAATAAATAATAATAAATAAATATAAATAATAAATAATAATAAATAAATATAAATAATAAATAATAATAAATAAGTATAAATAATAATAAATAAGTATAAATAATAATAAATAAGTATAAATAATAATAAAAAAGTATAAATAATAATAAATAAGTTCAAATTAAAAGCATTTATTTTACTAAAAATATTTGGTTTGATAAATTTCTGTTTAATTTTACTAGATAACAAGCTGCAGGTTATAAAATTTTGCTACCAAGACGAGTTTTTTATTAGCAAATAATCAAAACATTTTTAAACTGCAATGTATAATTAGTTATAATGTAACTAAGATATAATTATAAATTTTTCTTTTTATTAAAAATGATTGATATGATACATTTTCATTTAAAGATACTTACAACTAGCAAACTTTAATACATGAACTTCAGAGTATTTATGTAACTTTTAATTTATAAATAATAACTAGGTTATTATTTGTAAATTGTAAATTAAATTATAAGAATTTTAAATGAAATCAATTTAAAATATTATAATTTATTAAAAATGATTGACGTTATAAATGATGTTTGCAAGCTGCCAAACTTTAATTTTACTTTTGATAATAAGTCTATATTTGAATCAACAAACAATCGGAAATTTTTGAATTATAAATTATAATTAAATAATAAGTAACTAAGAAGTTAGAAAATTTGAATTTTTAATTTATCCCAAAAATGAAGAAAACATTTTTAATATATGTTTGATACAAAAAAACTGTATTAATGGAAACAACAAATAAATACAGAAAATAAAAACCACCTTACTAAATTTTCAAAACACTGGGTTTTGACACCGTTTACCCAAAAAGACAATCTCGAGTTTAAATTTATTCGCAGAGAAATAAACTAACATCTTTTATATATTCAATTGTCAAAAAGTAAAATTAATTTAAAGCGTTGAAATCATTAATAATATGTACCCCGAGTGTTTACGAATATTTTTACAAAATGGAACTTTGTCAGAGTTAATTTATTTGAGGAATTTCGAGTTTATCCATTTTGGATGCTCTCCAAAAGACTGAGAAGATCTTCATCGAATATTAGTTGTTTTCATTGGAGGGAAAATAGGGATATTCACTAGGGAATTTTAACCTTTTCGAAAACAGTTGCTTTCTTTGAAGGGGCATATAGTTTTCCTTCGATATCCCCTAATTAACGGAGTTCCAAAATAAATTGGAGGTCCAGGAAGTGGAATTTCCTAAGAAAATATTGATAATAACGCATCGTGAATCGTATAAAATTTGAGGGATAATTTTGAAAGCTAATAAATATGTTGTTATAAAGAGCGAGTTTTCTGAAGTAGAGCTTTGATATTTTATTTGAAGAAAATGGTTATTTTTGTTAAAATTTCGCAGTAAAATTTATCATGAATCTATTTTTAGTTTTACATATTCTGATAGTCACACTTTAGAAAATTGACTCCTAATTATAAGAAAAATACAGTAGTGTATGATTTACGCGCATGTGCATAGTAAAATTTATAATGTATCTGTTTTTATTCCTACATACTCCAACTCTTAAAAAAATTGTCTCTATAAATACGAAAAATACAGTATTTTTTATTTATGCATAGATACATTGTGAAGTTTATAATAAAGCTGTCTTTATTTTTTACTTATTCGGATAATCACACCAAAGAAGAGTGACTCCTGTAAGAAAAATACAATAGTTTTTGAGTTATGAGCATTGTGATATTTAAATCTGTTTTATTTTTTTCATATTTTGATAGTTACACTTAAAAAGATTGACTCTAAAAAACGAAAAACGTTTTCTTTAATGTTCATTGTTTTCGATACGGGACACTTTTTAATGGTACTATCAACCTGTTAACTTATCGAAAATTCCTTCTAAAAAATTATTTCATAAATGAACTTTTTGGTGGAACACGTGGTGGTATAATCTTTAGGGGTTGCTAAAGAGAACTATAATTTGAAACCTGTTCATTCGCCAAATGTTTGGCGATGGACATTAGTTAAAATTCAGGAGTCCCAACTTCACAATACATTTCTTCCATTTGACACATTGATGGATCATATCTATTGTTATGACCCTCTACCCCACCTTTATGTTCAAATTCCCTAGGGTCAACAGGCA